GGAGGAGCGAAAAAAAGCCCCCATCATCATCATCATCATCATAATAATCATAATAAAAGGAGAGCCGGCGCGTTAGCGAGCCTTTTTAATTTTTAATTTTTCCATTGAAGAGTCCCGAAACTATTAAAGTTATATATAAGGGAAATTCTGGTAACATTATTAATGCCTGTCATTTTAAAGATAAAAGCATTTCCTCAGTCTCCTTGTGATCTGATGGATTTACTGGCATATAAAATTAGTACCTTTCAGTCTTTGAAACCGAGTTACGTCTTAGTGACCTGATTCTCCCCAGATCAACAGACAGCCCCATGCAGGTGCGAATGCTTTACAGGGACCTCATTCTGCCTCGGTGGGACTCGGTACCCTTTGCATGTGTGGAGAGAGAGAGGGGGGGGAAAAAAAAAACCACCCTGATTTGGGGAAAGGATATTTGCTTTCGCCCCGCTGCTGTCTTGGAAACGAGAGGGGAGAGAGAGAGAGACAGGGAGAGAGGAAAGAAAGAAAGAAAAAGGAAGGAAGGAAGGAGGGAGAGTTGATTTTTTTTTTTCTTCTAATTTTTTTTTCCTCCTTTTTTAATGCTGAGTTACCGTATCGCTTCGCTGAGATCCAGCAAGCCGAAGATTTCACTCGATTGCTTTCATTGCTGGCGACGCTAAGGGATTTTTGCATTTTTTTGGGGGGTGAGGGGGGGGGAACTTCGCGTTTCTTTCTTTTCACACTGGCCTTAAAGAGGATATATTAGAAGTTGAAGTAGGAAGGGAGCAAGCAGGCCGATGGCGCAAAGGGTACGTATTAAAAAAAAAAAATGGATTTCAAATGTGAAATAATATTGAAACGTGGCTGACAGAGACGCTGCGAGAAAAGTTTCTCTTTTTTTTTTTTTTTTTTTTTTTTTTTTTTTCTTCCCCTTCCCCTCCTCTTTGGAGCAGGGGCACAAAGCGGTGTCCTGGAGCGGGAGGATTTATCAGTTGTACTTGTAGGCTTAAAACCTGTGCCTAGTGATATTTTCTTGATTCTTTGACTCCCCATCCCGGATCTCTCACGGAAAAGGCAAGCTTTCTATACATTAATGACATGCAGGCATGTAAGTGAGTCTGTCCGAGCCGCTGTATTTGTTGGGTTTGTAGCTCTAGTCCTACCAATGTCTTTTTTAAAGTCACCAGTGCTTGAAATATTTGAATGTGTGCATGTCTCTGGGCGTTTTGCTGGGTTGGTGATGATATACCGCTCCACTTTCGGAAAAGAACTTCTAGCTGGGAGTTAAACGCAACTTTTTTTTT